CTAAGGATTCCTGGGCCAGAATCTTGTTGGAGAGTTATGAATGCACTAAGCACCATAGTTGCAGTGCTACACAGTGACTCCTGTCCTGATCCCCCCAGCAGCAGCCACTGTGATCAATGGAGGTCTGTTCCCCTGCCAGTCAGGAAGCAGCTGGTTGATGGTCCCATTCCCTCCCATGAGTGATCTCTGTTGTGACTGGCAGAAGTGATGCCCCTGTCACAATTCCTCCTCATACCTGAGATTGCTCTTGCAGGGGTGTGGGACGGTCAGCTAGCTGCTTCCCAATTGACAGGGAAACAGACCCTTGTTGATCACAGCACCTGCTGTCTGGTAAGTGGGGATTGGGGGAACTTTCACGGTCCATATGTATCCCCTAAACTGGGGTCTACACAGGGATTGAGAATATGAAACACACACAATTATGTGACTTTAGGTTATGCATTTGTAACTGCCCAGCAGGATTCCAACCCTAGTGTTTATTTTTTTAAAGAACAGTGAGTGGTTTCAGCTCTAAGAGATGTCTTCTGAGACTGGAACTTAACTTCCTCTGTTTTTGATAAGACGGAAATAAAAATTTGAGCACATTGATCCTTGATCTACATCCTGTCCCATCAGCACTGCATAAATAAAGCAGTGCCACTTTGAAGTTTTGTCTTCCTTCCTCCATCATTATATTGGAAGACCTCTATAAACATTCATTCTGGGTAGATAGTTTGTATCTCACCAGTCAAGGGATCTTGTGGCTTTTGGGCTTTCCAGTACATCTCTTCAGCTTCTACATAATCAGTGGTGTGGATCTCTTATCTTGCCATATCATCAGAATATGGGATCAAGTTTTTGAAAGTGTCACTGATCATGACAGTCACAATCTCTTCCTGATAAATGTCTGCTCTAGGACAGAACTGATTTGGTTTGTGGTTTTGGTTTTGTAAATGATGAGACATAACATGAAATTCTATAGCACAAAGAGGTGCTAGCATGAGGGGATTCATGAAGGCAGGGTTTCTATATATGAAATATTTTGATTTTAAGGGCTGCTCTCTTATCAGCAAGGATGTTTGAATGTTATGACAACAAAAGTGGCAGTGCCAAGAAAGTTCCTTTTAAGGTTTTATGTACACAAATAACAATTATATAAGCAAATACAGTGGGCCCTTGGTGGGGTTTGGTTCCAAGATCCCCCGTGGATACCAAAATCAGTGGATGATCTAGTCCCATTAAATACAATGGCATAGTAAAGTGGTGTTCCTTATATAAAATGGAAAAATCAAAGTTTGGTATTTTGGAATTTTTAAAAATATATTTTCAAGTCATGGATGGTTGAATCTGTGAATATGGCCGACTGTACTGTTGGTGTTATTTCATGGTGCAAACACTTATTAAGAGCAAAGCCATTGTCCCAGTGCAGTGTAGTTAAAAATCAGTCAAGTAACTATATCATGACCCAAGCCAGCTCAACCTATGTGCATTTTCAGCTGAGGTTTTCTCTTTGACTTCACTCGCCATTACCATCACAGTTTACTTTTACTAGAAAAACCAAAAAGCTTTTAAGTAAAGTGGTAGAAGGAGCTGGGCTGAGATTGGAAAGGGTTAAGAAGAAGGATCAGGGGGAAAAGACTTAAACAGGTTCAGAAAACCTTGGCCCTCCAAATATCTGCATCTACAGTTCCCACAATCCTTTACCATTGGCCCTGCTGGGTAAAATGTATGGGAATTTAAAAGATGCGGAAGGCAAAGGGTTTGTCATTTCTGGCATAAAGAGGGTTAAAGCAGCGGATGATGACAGAGACACAGGAAATGATTATATATGAGACAATTTTCTTGTTAGTGGGAATTAAAGTCACCATATAAAATACATGAAAATCATGTGGCTCTCCAAATGTTGTTGAATTGCAATTCCGAGCAACCCTAGCCAGCACAGCTAATGGTGAGCTCAGTTACAGCTTGGCAAAATCTAGGACACATGATTCCACCTCTGATATAAAATGTACTTATAGTCATAGTTTGAAAGAGATACATTCCTTAGTGCACAACTAGTTTGATATAAATCCTTCTATTGTATATAAATATCTCACATACTTTCAAGAAGGAAAAATAAGAAGCAAAGTCCTACCAATAATTTGATGTAGGCCAGGGTTAAATTGAAATGATTTATTTGGAATTTAAACTCTAGTTGATGTTACCCAACATTCTGTGAATGTTTGTTCTGACTCTGTTGCGATACAAGAATCAAATCTTGGGGCTAAATCCAGTTGCAAGACTCAATTAGAGTAGACCCACTGAGTCAGTGCTGATTTGGTAGGTCAACATTTAGGTTATAGAGATTTAGAAAAAGAAGAAAGCAAATTTACACAGTGCATTTCTCACCCCACTTGGATAATGGCCTAGACCAGTAGTTCATGTAAAAATAATTATGACTAAATTCACTTGAAAGTACTGGGATTTCTTATATTTACATTTGTTAGCTTGCTTCCTTGGTTTCTGTGAGACTTCAGTCCCTGGATTGGGGCCTATAAATTTATGAACAGAGTTTTAAGTACGGTAAGCCATTTGACTGGTATTCCTTCACAATGAAGAACTGCATTTTTAAAAATTCTAAAAGACTATAATATCCATCTTCTAGTGCATCCTCTACTATTGACTGGTCCTAAACATATCCTCAGAAAGTAGCATGCCCTTGTAAATCTTTTTCTCTTATTGCATACTGAGAAAACATGGTGTTCTTTTCAAATTCTGATGGGTTACGATATGCTCTCAGTTTATTTAGCAAAGCTGTTGGCCATCATTGTTAATTTTTCTCAGTCTGTTCCATGAAAATGTTAGGTGATTAAGGTGAAGTCCACTGATTCCATTAAGAAAGAAAAGGAAGGCAGCAATGAACTCACACCAGTAGGTGAGTGTAAAGCCTGTGAAGGAGATGTAGTCCCTCAAAAGTATTAAGAAGCTCAGCACCCCAGCTGATGAGAGCAGAAAAGAGGCAAGAATTAGGACTGAACCCATTGACCACTTTCTTCTTGAGTTGATGTCTTCGCAGACTTGTGAGACCATGAGAAGTTCCAGGCCAAAGATGGCTACTACAACAGCAAAAGACACCATACTTCTTGCGAGAGTCATTCCTATATTCATCCCTCTGACATTGGCCAAAGTGAGGTTGGTGGCACATCTGAGGGCACTGTTGTTGTTGATGGTACAGAAGTGCCACAATCCAAAGAGTTTTCCTTTGGCAAAAAGCCAGTGGCCATCACACACTGCGATTGAAGACAGGACAATGGATATCGCAACACAGAGGATGATGAGGCTCCGAATAAATGTCTCAAAAAACAACCTCTTGGGCCTTCTATGAGCATGTAGCCACTGGGCCTTAAAGAGAAATTCCCAAAAGAAATACAAGAAAGAAAGTTAAATCTTGGCTTCTATATTTCAAAGCAAGAAGCATTAAAAAACAACAACATAGCCATCTGATGAATTATTATCCACAGGGTGGTTAATGGTGAGTGATACTTATACAGAAAATGTACAAAATGGCATTCATTCACTATTTCTCAGCCTCTACTCCACCACTGCAATTTCTTTTACTCTCTGTATAATAATAATAATTGTTGTTGTTATTGGGTTATCATAACATGGAGAATTTTGGCACAGAGTGCTTGATGTACATAAGCATGTGAAGGTGAGGCATGAGTCTTACTCAGAAGTTCACAGCACACCTAACTGAACATGTGAGAAGGATGGTGTGCAAACCTCATCCACTTCCATCTTCAGTGACCTGGATACATACAGGGATCCAGTTTTGGATTACATGAAGAGATTCTAAACATGTAGCAGAGACTCTCCTATTCTGACTCTCACTGTCCTCACATGCAAAGGGATCTTGTAGCATCTTTGAGACTAACTGTGCGAAAGATTTTGTAGCATAATTTTTCATAGACTTGGTGTACTTCCTCAGATGCATGAATCACTCCATTCATCTGAGGAAGTAGACCATGAAAGCTTATGCTACAACTTCTTTCTCACAGATAGTCTCAAAGGTGCTTGCTACAAGTCCCCTTTGCATATTGATAGTCCAAAGGTGGTGATATCTCTGAATTCTGTCCTGACATGGAAAGTGATAGTGAAAGAAGGGCTGGTTATCATGTTCCTTTCCTTATGCATTCAGTTTAGCCTTAATCTGAATGCCTGAACAGGGTTACAGAAAGATCAGAGAGAAGAAGATGGCAATAGTCAAAGCAAAACAACAACTAAAAACAAACCAAAAGGCAGATCAGCTTTTTTTTTGCCCTCCTGTGAGGACAGAGAGATAGGGTCATGTTTTTACAATGTCATAAAAGGAAATGTTGACAGACATACAGAGCATGAGAGATGAAAAGGAATCCACTGTAGGTATAACAAATACTGGGCCACCTTACAGAGGTTGTTTTAAAAAGGAAGAGCAGATTCCAGCTTTGTGGGATCTGTTTTGCTTTTTGTTAGATTCCAGAGACAGACCTGAGACAAAAGAAAAATAATGGCTGAGGGGATAGAGCCAATTACCTACCATATTCCCACTCCTAAAGAACCTGTCCATACTATAGTGTTTCTGACCAAATGGACCCTCCAAAAGTATGCAGCTTTAAAAAAGCAAATTTACTACAAATTTTCAGTTATTTGGAGGCAGAAATCCTTGGTGTCCTATTACAAACCTACTTAAAGATTTACTAATAAATCCTGATATTAATTTTCCCCCCCACTCCCTGGCCCTATTGAAAGGGTATGTGAAGTACATTGGAGATCCTAAAGTGCTTTATAAATGGTAAGGATTATTTCTCGTGTGTGTATGTATATATCTATGGCTACATCTATAGATAGGTATATAATGTATGTTGTGTGCCTTCAAATTGTTTTGGACGTATGGGAAGCTATCACAGGGTTTTCTTGGCAAGTTTCTTCAGACAGGGTTTGCCATTGCCATCCTCTGAGGCCGAGAGAGTGTGACTTGCCCAAGGTAACCCAGTGGGTTTCCATGGCTGAGCAGGGATTCGGACCCTGCTCTCCGGAGTTATAGTCCAACACTTAAACCACTACATCACATTGGCTTGTTTAATGATATGAAGCTGTTCCCATTCCTTAGGAGCCTATTTCACAACCTAAACGCATCCACAATGAGCATGTCTCCCTTGTTCAGTCATTTTTCTGCTTTTCTTAATTGCAACCCCTGCAGTGCTTCTTATTTTCAAATAGCCCTTGTTCAAAGCCTCCTAAGAACTGCCAAGCGGGAACCAGTTTTTGCTGAAACATCAGCAATAACATGCCAGTGAAGGGACAGAGTTGCTGATCTTTGTAAACAAGTCATTGTATTCCAAGAAGGAGAGGAAATGGAACAATTTAAGAAGAAAACATTTGACTCTTCTTTGCTCAACAAAATGTATCCAGCATTCCATACTGTTTCAGCTCTTTTATTCTCACTTAAATTATAAGGAGCTTTTGAGTCCCATTTGGGAGAAAGGTGAGATACAAATCCTACCTGTTTTTAGGCCAGCTTGGTGTAGTGGTTTGAGTGTTGGACTCTGGATGTTATCACACGTGGGCCAGAAAGCGATAATAAAGTGGAAATGAGACATTCCGAAAATAAATCGAAAATAAACCTTGATTCCGCAAATGGCTTTCACACGTAATTACCTTAATTGCGAAATTAAAGTAAGCGCATTTAACGTTCACACACAAGTGAGAAAAGCCCGTAAATGTACTAGAAATGAGCTTCTTGCACATGCGCAGATAGAGGAATGCTCGCCGTGGAACCATGGGAAAAGCAGGGAAATGCTCCCAAATGCGCATTTGCTTTTCACGTAAATGCGAAATTACTGTAATTTCGCAAATGCATTTCCTCAAAACTACTGAATTTCAAAAGATCTTGGATAACACCAGTTTCTGTCCAGTTTCTGTGCGATGTCGTGTGAAATCATGAAGCACAAATCCAGTTTCTGTTTGGGATTTGTGTGGATTAACCAGCAGATTTCCCCGTGTGATAATGTCTTATGACTCTGGAGACCAGGGTTCAAATCCCAGTTTGTCCATGTAAATCCACTGGGTGACCTTGGGAAAGTGACAGACTCTCAGCCTCAGAGAATGGCCATGGTAAACCCCCTCTGAAGAAACTTGCCAAGAAAACCCCATATAGGTTTACCTTAGGGTCACCATAAATCAGAAACAACTTGAAGGCAGCACCACCACCACATCAACAATGGTATACTAGTATATTTAATATAGTATAATTTGGTATGTATATAATAATAATAATAATAATAATAATAATAATAATAATAATTTTATTTATACCCCACCTTTTGCAGAGCAATCATTATAGTATTGTGTTTTATTGTTTTGTTCTTGATTATATATGTAAAAGGGTGTTATAAATAATAATAATAATTATTATAGCAATAAATACATATTAGGAGCAGAATCCTTTTGCACATATTATCAGTTAAATTGTATTATTGCGACTCTGAACACCTTCCCAAACCATACTACAGTGTCAACATCAGCTGGATTTTTGGAGACGTTAAACTAGGGAGGCAGATCATTAGTCATTCAAACTCCTATTTTCCAGGGGATAGGGGATGGAAGGGAAAAAAAGCATGACTGTTTGCATGACATAGAGTTGTCTTCGCTTTTTCATCATTTTGAGTTCCTAGAATAATATTATACGTGCAAATATTGTACAGGAAAATTTCCTTAATGGAAGGAAGGAAGGAAGGAAGGAAGGAAGGAAAGAAAGAGAAAGACAGACTTATTTTTCATGGGGGAGGGAAGGAAAAAAACATGCCTATTTGCATGACATAGGGTCGCCTTCTGTTTTGCATCATTTTGATTTCTTCGAATAATACTATATGTGGATATATTGTACAGTAACGTTTCCAGAAAGAAAGAAAGAAAGATTCAAACTCTTTATTTTTCAGGGGAAGGGATGGGGGGAAATACCTATTAGTATGACATGGGGTCTTCTCTTTTTCATCATTTTGAGTTCCTAGAATAATAATATACAGTATGTGCATATATTATACAGGAAAGTTTCCTTAATGAATGGAAGGGAGGAAGGGAGGAAAAAGAAAAGACATCGGACATTCAAACTCTTGTTTTTTTAGGGGGAAAAGAAGGGGGAAATGCCTTTTTGTATGACATAGGGTCTTCTTCCCTTTTTCATCTGTTTTGAGTTCCTAGAATTATATTGTATGTGCATATATTGTACAGGAAAGTTTCCTTAAGGAAACAGAGAAAGAAGGAAGGAAAGAAAGAAAGAAAGAAAGAAAGAAAGAAAGAAAGAAAGAAAGAAAGAAAGAAAGAGGACATGCCCTAGAGAGGACTTACTCATGTTCAGGGGGAAGACCTCCACCTCTCCTCCCCTGCCACTTTCTCCTTAGAGCCCCAAACCCAAAGAGCAACAGGTGGCCCTAGGAAAAAGTCATCTCAAAGTGGATGGCAGAGGGAACCTACTGCTCTTGCAAGAGAACAAAGGAGGACCAAGGCAGGGAGAGGAGCAGAGCCCTAGCCCAGACCCACTCCACTTTCCCTCTCTTTCTCTCTTTCCATCCCAGGAAGGGTGTGTGTGTGTGTGTGTGTGTGTGTGTGTGTGTGTGT